TTGATAATTGATGTTTAGACTACAGGGAGGACCACAAAGGGGTGATGTACCCGTAAATTTATTAACGTTTCCATGGTTGACAATATCCTTGATCTTAGATACAGGTGCGTATGAGTTTTCGATTATAAATTTCGCGGAAAAAGTGTTTAGTTTGATAAAATCAATTCATTTGTTTGAGAGCTTATGACAGAGCCGACATAAACGAATAAACTACCGATCTAGTCGGATAACCTTTCATATGTAATTTAATTAGAGCGTATATTTTGGAACTTGAGGGTTTATTATTTAGAGCTTAAATAAATCACTAGAGACCTTAGGCATTTTGAATAATTGATTTTACTTTTTTTTGATAGTTATTGGAAGGTTATTCCTTCCTGAGCATTTTATACTTGCCTGTATTGAGAAAGGAAATAGTTTCATCAATTTAATACTTTTGCTAATGGCAACTATTGTATTATCTGTATCTGTACAATCGTTCCCTTGATGTGAGAATTCCTGTAACTAGAGAAGGTGGCAGAGAATGACTGATTACACTCTGAGCACCTAATTCTTCTTTGTTTTCGAATACTTGATAGGCTGCGTAGTAACACTCTGTGGTAAGCAGTTGACTGTGGGTGTGATTGAGTACAAACGACTGATGGTTTAATATTGATTTATTTAAGGAATCGTAAAACTATTTATACACAAATAAATGCAATATTTACAGAGGTAATTAACTAATAAATTAACTAAAGTGCTGACTTATATGTTTTACTGACCCACTGTTCGTAATGTCGACGACTTTAAAAATGCTTGGCTAGTTGGTGAATAGAAAAAAAATTGATATATTTATTAAAAGATAATAAGTTTTAAAATTGGAAGAAGATATGGCTAATGTTAATGTAATTTTCAGCAAGGCGTACACGGGTAATACAATCGTCGCTTACAAGCAACTATCAAATTCTCAGTAACGAACCTACAAATCATTTTCATAATGAACTCTCAAGCTCCAAATTATGCTCTCTAATTAAATTACATAAAAATGGTAAAATAAGACTCAAGACAAAAATTAGATCATTCTGCTATCTTGTAGCTGGGTTTTGGCTCATCAAACGTTAGAGGAAGACACAACCTCGACCACAAACTACCTTGTCCTCGTGGTAGGGGATTGGGATGTCAGGCTGCGTTCATCAAAAAAATTGTAGACTCCTTAAACACCCAATAAATGGCCCCGGAACAGTAGAAAAAAATCAGAGACGAACAGGCAACGGAAAAGTACAATGATTTTTGATCTATATCACAGAAACCTTCTTCTATGACTTTTAATTGTCGCTGGTTGCTGAAAAATAATCACGCATACTAACTATTTAACACGCGTGTATTTCACTGACAAAAATAAAAAACACTTTTCAGTTTAACAAAATACCTATATTTCTAACCTGTGAAATGAAAACTCATTTACGTTGAATACAACTCGAAACAAAAATTAAGCAGACCATATTTTCCACTTTTCCATTGAAGTTTGTTGCTTTTTAGTCATTTCGCTCTGAACATTGTTTGTTAAAAATATCAATTGCGAATTTGCCAACAACAAACATACTTTTATACCGCAGTCAAAAAATTTTTGCCGCAAATATTTTCGCTTGGGGTAAGTATTATGTTTGACAAAATTTATGTCTCTCCCACAAAAGTTAAAGCGGGTATCATTGGAAACTAAACTCTTTCAAAAGCCGATATTCCTGAATTCCAGAAATACATTAGACTTTACTTTTATTGTTTTCGATTTCCAGCACTATTTTGAAGGATTAGGTAAATGAATTATTGAGATTTAAAAATTAGTCAGTCAGAAAGGGACGATGTCCATTGCTAATAGAGAACCAGAAAAAAATATATAGCATAAAAGTTCTTACACCAAACGTAGGTACCAAAGAAGACCTTTATTTTTCTGCGACAGAGACTATCAAAAAGTGGATTCGCTCAAACAGAAATTGGTGAATCCTGACGAACCTATTACCTTGAAGTTTTTGGAACCTTGTAACCCCATTTGTTAATGAATTTACAAGAGGCCCATAACATGCTCAGTTTGCTCAGCGAATAATTATTAGGGGTGGGTCAATAGTTTAATAAGTACAGAATGACAAGGTCGCCACTGAGTTTAAAATATAAATAATTAAATTACATAAAATATTGAAGTGAGAAAATTAAGAAACACTGCTAAAAAAAAATAATCATCAAACGGTAATTAGTAGTTCTGAAAAAGAAATAAATGAGGAATATAACTCAACCAAATCTTGACATAGGTAAAACCAATAAAACAATCAATTGTCGTTGAAACACTTTAAATAAAATCAATAAATAGGGGTTAACTGTCAATAAGATTCAACAAAAAAAAAAAATATATATCCCAATGTACCTCAATATACTTGCCATATATAAGTTCATTCGCAGTCGCTGGCCATATCATTATCATGAAATGAAAAAATAAAAGATTTAAGTTTCCAGAAAACCAATTGAAAAAATTGTATTGATAAATATGGTCAGCTTCTGGCTTAAAAAATAAATTCAATAAAATCAACTTGCACCTGTATGAAATCAAAAGTTGGGTTAAATGGTTAGGAGATGTAATAGAAATCCTCAAATATATAAGTATTGGACCCCGGTTAAAAATTGATCAATTTTCGACGATGTAGGTAGGTAGTACTTACTCAAATTTTTTTAAGTTAGAGCATGTTGTCCAACCTTGACTTCAGTTCAGACTATTGATTATGAATAATAAAATTTACATTTCTAAAATATGGCAATATTAAAAGTTAAGTAGAGATAAATCTTAAATAAATTCAATAAATCGAAAATCCAGTGTATTAATTATTCCACCATCAACTCGGTGTCAAGAATGTGAAATTTTTAGTAGGTAAGTCCTATCGGAAAAAAAAATCAATTAGATTTATTAACTGATTGTAGAGTAGATTTCATAAGACAAGGTATTGAAAGTTATTAATGAAACTTTATACAAGCCTCCATTCCAACAAAAAGGTAGAGTACGGTAGCCATCCATTTCAGTCACTTGACGAGGGAAGTTGCAAATGGAAGTTGCAGATTCTAGCCTGGAATCAAGGCTAGAAGTTCAGTTTTCTTCGTCTAATGTGGGGGTACATGTATCGACACGTAAGGGACTTGATTCCTCTAGAAAATCACTTCAAGAGCTTTATGCCCAGAGATGTGGGCTTGTTGAAAATGGATTCTTTGAGAAAAACGGCTCCTCGGAAAAACACCTCCTCGGAAAACCCTATTTGCATAACGAGAAATTTGATTTGAGTGCATTTCACCAAAAAAACCACAACCAGAATTGATAAACAATGAACAATTTAAAGAGCGAAGGCTCGCACTACCATCAAATCCGGTTAGTAGCTTTTTTCCAGGATGTCTTGCCTGAACATGCATTCTGTTTTCTACTCGACTTTGCGCGCTTTCGTAGATCTGTACAAAAAAAACACATCAAGTGGTGTTGATTTTGTTATTTTTACACGACATGCTAGGATGATGATTTTGAGATTTTTGAAAAAATAACTAAAATAGTTCAATAGCGTGGTAGTGAAAAAAATAGTGTACAAACAGGTTCCATTCCTAACCTATCCCTGGACAGTAATGAAACACTTTTCACCTTCGGTATGTCTGCCTGTCCAATATGCAACCAGAATGTTTTCCTGTGATTTTGGGATATCGTGCAAAGTTGCTAATTTAGAATCAGCTTAAGCTTATATCGATATTTGAAGGAAAAATTATTATGCCACCCAATTGTACTTCGAAAATTACCTCGAGTAAGATTTTATGTACGACTGGCCCGCAGAGTACCTAATTTGAGGGCGCAATTTGATACTTTGCAAATTCCTACCATAACATAGTTACTAGCGGTCGTACATAAAATGTTGCATGTATCACAGGCGCAAATGGTGTCCAAAGCCCTCGGCGTCAGATGCGCCTTGTGCTTTAATTTCCATGCCATGGCCGCAAACACCCTAATTGCGCCCTTGGTAAATGAATAAATATTTTCAGCGAATTTATACTTGGGGGTTTTATTTTTGAAATCCTATTCTCCAGCATAAGAAAAATTTCTCTAAAAAGGAACGAAACGAACATGCACATCCAAGAAATAGAGGCTTGAGGGGGTGATTAGAAGATTTAATTAAAAGTACCTATATTGCTTTTCTGTAATTTGTTTTCGTGCAACAAATGTTAGATATTGAATAATAATTGGGAAACATATTTCCGAGAAAGCAATTTACATACGCGACTCAAGTTTGTATCCCGGTCTAATCAAATAATCATCAGATTGTTGGTTTTTGATAGGTAGTTGCATGAGTTGATCTGCGAGTGCCTTAATAGTTATTTATGATATAAGTGTTAAAAATACTTTTAACGCAAATATCATACAATATTTTTTCTACAAACGGCAATAAAAATAAAAAGCAATAACCACTAACAAATTGTATTTTTAAATGAATAATAAATTGGAAGCATCTTTCCTACATAAAATTCTTGAATTTGACATTTGTCAAAAAATCCATACAACTAGCACCTTGTTTTACAGGTAACGAAATGTCAGTTTCTTGAAAGTCTGTCGTGGTCAGATACAGAAGAAACAGAGGGTTGCATCGATCCTTCGAAAAATATAGATGAGGCGGCCAATCGGGCTACCTCAGTTGTTCAACTTTCACCATTAATATCAATGTAAATAACTGAAAATACAAACTTTTTTTGACGTCCGCTCTCAAAATTTGATGTTTCACTTTTAACACTAGTGCTATAAAGACTTTATGGCACTAGTGCGATAAAGTAACATTTTTAGTGCTTCGGGGCGGTGTTAAAAATTGCATTTTTAACACGTTTGTAGAAAAAAATTCTTTTTATACTAATATCATACAATATTTTTTTCTCATGAACGGCAATAACACAGTTGTAAATATTATTTTCAGAATTATTTGGAGCAGATTATTTTTAAAACTGGGCTTACTGATTTTTTTTCAAATAGAATTGAGATAGGGGAGATAGCATTTCCCAGCTGTAACATCTTTCTCGCATTTCCAGTTTACTTTTAGAAATACTTTTTTCTCAAGCTTAAAATCGACTGAAATTTCCTTTAATAAACGATAAAGAAGAATTTTGATTTTCAGTAACAACAATAAAACTGACCTTGCGCTTGGATCGTATAGAGTCGATTTGTCGCTGAGTCAGTTCCCCAATAGATTGGGAACCCCACAGCACTTTTCCCATTACAGTGTAGCACAGCGACATGAGGGTCATGGGAACTAAATAGGCAATGACCAGGAAGAGCATCTGATATCTGAAACCAAATAAAATTAGAGAAACTTTAATCTCTATAAAAAGTTTTGAATCGAATTACTTTCCAGACAAAATAAGATTTTTATCGCTTTTTGTAGTGAGTTTAAAAAAACAAATATGTACCTTCCTACAAATAATTTATTTATACTTCATTTTTGTTAACATAGTTTAGTTATCGGTACCTACTGGGCAATTATCAATAGTAATATAACTAGTGCAATGGAAATTATAAATATATTTCCATTGCACGAGTTGTATTTAATGAGAGAATTTCATAAATCAAAAATTTAAATTTTTTGTCAAAAATGTCAAAACACCAGTTTTCGCACCAGTTAGTATGCAATTATCTGATAATTTGCACTAGTGCGCGTAATTACAGTCTGATTGGTTCAAATCAACAATCAAAACATGTCAATTTATTGTTGGAATACCAGTTTTGACAGATGTATGAAATTCTCAATAATAATATAACAAGTGCAATGGAAATTATCGATAATTTTTGGGAAATTTGCCCGAATGCATTTTTAGTTGAGGTGCACGAGTGCCTTTTCCAATTAAAAACGCATGAGTGCAAATTTGTCAAAAATTATAGATATATTTCCATTGCACCAGTTGTATTTTATGAGAGAATTTCATGAATCAAAAATATAATTTTTTTGTCATACGCTCCCAAAAACAACTATTTTACGGACTCATTTAAGTCCGTAAAATGCTTCTTTTTAGGTTTTTTTTTTTCTTTCTGGTTGCACCTTTATGATTCCAAAAATTAAGGAAATTTTGCAAATTTTAGCGTTCTGAAGAATTCTAAAAAGCGTATGACAAAAAATTGTGTTTGTCACACGTACCTAACGAAGTTTTTTAGGACTCATCTGCTATTCCGGACTCGGCTGACGCCTCGTCCGGAAACAGCAATGATTCGTCCTGAAAAACTTCATTTTAGGTACTTGTGACAAAAATAACTATTTTGTCAAAAAATGTCAAAACAGCAGTTCTCGCCCCAGTTACTATACAATTATCGAATATAATACCACAAGAGGTTTCAGGATTACCGGATAATACTTGCTGGTAACTCGTTGAGTGTCAGGTGAAAGTATTGAAAAACCGCTCTTCGTTCTGGTTCACTTCCAAATTACCTCTTATTTTCTACTTTCGTCGAAGAAAAAGACAAATTTTTCCATTGAAACCAAAGACTGCCAAGTGTCACAGTGAATATATGTATATTTAATTATCGGTTTATAACGGTATATGTCTTCCTATTTCCGATCTCCAACCATCTCTGTGAATCCAGACATCCTCCTCCAAGTCTCTGTCTCTAATTTCCTCGTGTTCTTCACTTCACCAGCTTCTTCTTGGTCTGCTACGTCTTCTTCGTTGCCCTGGCTTCCACTCAATAATTTACTTGGGTATTTTTAGATCTACCCTTTTTTGTACATGTCCCAACCAAATCAGTTGTTTGTCCCTAATTCTCAGATTTGTTATCCTTTTAATTTTTGACCTGCCTGCCGCTCTCCCCCAAAAGTTCATTTTATTTGCTTCCAGCATTTTTGCGGTTCGGTTCTTTAGTGGCCAGACCTCTGGACTATGTGTGACTATGGTGTTCTTCTTTTATAACTCTTATTGGTGATTCTGCAGTTTTTATATCATTTGTCGGTCCTCTGTCCTTGGATTTTGTTGTCCTCATGTTTTTCAGTAATTTCCGATTTCCTGTTTCTTTTACCTTCCAAGTCCCAGATAAGTATTAATATGCATACTTATACAGTTTCTTTCCCATGACTCGTGTTTTTTCTGTATTATTTTATTCCGTACCTACTCTTGATTATGCTGGTATTTCTTCTTCTTTGTTTTATCTGCTATGTTTTTCTCGATTTCTTGATCCCACCAGAAAGTTTTTTGTCTATTCCATTTTTTTTCGTATTCAGCTAGGGCTTCAAATGCTGCACTGTGAATACTTTCTTTGTTATGCTGGTAATATGCATTTCAAGGTTTTAGAAGTTCAAAGTACTCTGTGATTTTTGGTATAATCTTTTCATGTACATACAACCCCTTCACGCTTTGTTTTTCCAGAGATTTTTGGTTGTATTTCTCAGGCACAACGTCCTGTTGTTTTTCCTATGAAAATTAAAAAAAAAAAAAAATTATTTTCTTGAATTCCTCTAAAAAATTCGTTGATTTGGTTATTTATCCTAACAAAAAAATCAATAGTGTAGTAACGTTTTTATTGCCTATGCTGTGTTAAAGTGTTACTTTACGGCTCGTTGAAAGAACTTGGATAGCCTCTTTACTAGCAGCCAGAGAATAAAGTTATTCGTTTAAAGTCAGTAAAAATTGAATTTTAATGCTGCGGCTCGAATTTTAGAACGGAATCGAGGCTTTCTAATCTGCCAAGTTAGACACGTACTATTTTCTCCAACTGCTCCTTCTCATTGCGTTTCTAAATTTATTAAAAATTTGCTCTCAAAAATACTGACATTGTTATTCACTTTTTACCAAAAATGGCAAGCAAGGAAGTAATGACGTATTGACATTCCAACAAAAAAACTGCCGCAAGGCACTAAAAAAGTGTTTTTCTACGAGCGTGCGGAAAAGTGCACTTTTCCGCACTCATTTTAGTTTAGAAAGTTTTTTCCGCACTAGTGCGGAAAAGTGACAGATGTCACTTACACAAATATCAGCATTGAGAATTATTGGAACAATAATGTTATTTACTAAATTATTCCAGTTTAAACTTAACTTTTCTTGTCAAGTTACTATATAATGGTTACCTTATGCTTAAAAATTTCGAAAATTTCATGGTAGATACATGAAACGTACAAAATTATTGTTAAAAGTTCTCGATTTTCTTGTCTTCAGAATGAGGCACATTATTTCAGAATTATTTTTTTTTTATTATCAAAAAAATAAGTTTTATTTGTACTTAAGAGTAGGCACCTAACCTAAATTAAGAAAAAATTACTCGATTTGTTTTTAATACCAGGTGTTGTCAAAGAAATGTTGTCAAATATTGGTGTTAAAATTTACATTACGTAGGTACGTTCCTCCTATCTCGTAGAAAAAATAGTGTTCCTAACTCGTGCGGAAAATCTCTTTTCCGCACGCGATTGCAGTTTGCCGAACGACGCGTAGCGGAGCACTTTCCGCACTAGTTAGGAAATATACTATTCTCTACCTTGTTTTTATACTGAAACTGGAAGTTTTTTTTTGCGTAACTACCTACCTATATAAAAATTGAATAGACAGGCAGAGGTTTTATTTTCATTTTTCATTGCTCAACATTTGCACTAAGAACTATATTTGTTTCTATAGGATTTTCGTGAAACAGTGGTACACTTGCCTCATTTTAAATTATAAATTACCCTTTTGACCTTCATATATCTGAGTGCATCAAATTGACTTTAATCAAGGTCTTTTCTATTTACCTAAGTGTTTTAGGGAAAGTATCGAGCATTGCAACAGTTTCGCTCATACCCTCAAACATTGCAGGACGATCTAAATTGGACGAATATTTTAAACAAACTTTTTGATCCAATTTGGCAATTGGCGAATACTCTGCCTTTGGTGTTCGGTTTTACCTACATTTATTCAATTTATGTTCAAAAAATTTTGGTGACAAGTAATAACAAGACTTTAAACCCAAAACTTGGTCAGTTGAGAATGCCGATGGACATCTCATTACCAGCTTGGACGAGGTCATTGAGGTGTGACTTATATACTGTGAGACCCTTTATTCCGATGTTAACATTCAACCCCCTTTGTTCAATTACGAACGTGAGCCGGATATTCTTTTTTGGAAGTGGAATATGCATGTAATGCGACAGACATTGATGCCGAAACTCTGAAGTGCTTGGATGATGACGGTCTACATTTTTTACACCGTATCGTCAAAAGTTTGTTCCTTCGGTGTCTGACCAAACGAATGCAACACTTCGATATTTGTTCCACTTCATTGAAAGGGATCTCCGGTAAACCCAAACAATTATCGTCTACTCTCATTCAAGCAAGGTTATGCTGTAAGTATATTCTGCAGTCACGATTGAAGGGGTTCTGTGGACTGGCAAATATTTCCAGAGCAGGCAGGTTTCGTGAAGGAACGTGGTACGCGCGAACAGTTCTTCAAATTGAGGCAGGTTATTGAAAAGGCCAGTCTATATATGCTTTGTGGACTACTCCAAGGTATTTGACAACCGTAAAGTGGCCTAAACTATGGGAAATTTTTCTCTTTATGGGAGGTACTCACCACCTGATATTTCTCATACAACAGCTCTATGAGTCAAACACAGCACGAGTATGAATTGACGGTAACATATCTCACCAGACTACAACAAGAATAGGATTTCGTCAAAGATGTGTTATCGCCGATGTTGTTTAACATATATTCCGAATTTGCGAGGAAACAGGTACGGTAGTGTAACTCTTGGTGGTATCAAGATATCTAATTCAAGGTTTGCCGACGATACTACTCCTATTGCTTCTTCTCAACCTTACTTAACATCTTTGAACAACATAGTGCAGCATGTGGTCTCAGTATCAACTAATAAGACCAAGGTCATGATCGTTGATAGGAAACATGACAATAATCCTGAAATAATATCAGTAGGCCGTTGTCAGGTAGTCCAGAGTTTTGTATACCTCGGTTCTTTGATCGACAATTGAATTAGCTGCGAGGTTGAAATCTGTTGGCGCATTCAACAAGCACGGCCAGCCATGACAAGACTAACTGAAATATGACGTGACAAACATATCACACAAAATTTCACTTGTCTGGTCTCTTGTCTTTTCCAAATTTTTGTATGGGTCTGAGACTTGGACTGTTAGAAAGGCTGATCGCCACCACATAGACGTATTTGAACTGTGGACTTGGAAGAGCGAACTCACAAATACAAAACAACTATCCTCCATTGTTTCAACGCGTATCCTGACGTTCTTCGGCCATATCCGTAGAAGTAATAATATGGAGGAACTTGTTGTCCAGGGTCATGCCCCGAAAGGACGGCGTGTCGTGGCCGTTCTACTACACACTGGGTGGATGCGATAGAACAATTGCTAGATGTAGTGTCACAAGAGCGACCGAATTGACAAATAATCGTGAAAGATGGCAGAATGCGGTTTTCAAAGTAGTTAGCAGCATGCGTGTCGGCAATCCTTCAGTTCTGATTTAGTACATATTATTTTTATAGGTTCACAGCATGCCTGTTAAAACATTGTGACTATGATGTGTAGTTGTGAGGTGGATGAAAGGGAATAGTTATACCTGTGCCTGTGACATTTATAATGCTACCTTAGACTCTCCGCACATTGAGCAACCAAAAAGAAACCAAACTAATTGGTAACTTAAATCACCAACTAGTTACTAACTATGGATCGCACACGACGCTACTGAAAAATCAAGTCACTTCCTGATTATGGCAGCTTTGTCGTGCTTAAATTATTTTGATTAAGATTATTATCGTGGCAAAAAATGTTTACTAATTCAAGTGATAAAGATATTATCTCTTATCTTTATAATTCAAAAAGAAGTATTCGGCAAACGAAAATGAGGTATTGGGCTCACCAATACATTGGAAAAAAATTATATAAAATGCATACTTATAGGATTTGAACTAGCGTCAAATTGAAGGATTTTTCTGCCGTTTTCGCGGTTTTGCATGCTTCTTCACAAAAAAAACTAGGAACTGATTGCCAAGCGACTCGCATGCTGGGTTGCGGCTGACTGATCACCGACGTATTACAAACCGGTTACCAACTAGTTGCGTTGTGTGCGGCTCATTCATCTATACGAGCGGAAACTAATAGGTGACTGATTGGCGATTGAAGTTTGTAATTAGTTTGTTTTGAGTCGCTTAATGTGCGGATGGCTTCTATATAGTAACTAAGTTTTCGAATCCGTATTTTTTTATTTGATTTTACTTATTATTTTACTTACTTTAAGCTTTTTTTGATAACTAGAGTATACCAAAAAAAAAAAAAAAAAATTGAAGGACACAAAAATTTCAAATATATTCTTATCTTAATGACGGTCGTAGTGTGATAAGTGCCGATGCTCCCATCAATTCGGTAACCTTAATTGTAGCCTCAAACTTTTAATGCCATTGGGTCATTAGATTTGAGAGATCCGATAGAAGTCTGATATGTCTAGAAAATCATTCATAAAGGATTTTTCATCAATCTAGTGACAGTTACTGCATTTTGATGTGCATTTTTTCAAGAACCCTATTTTTCATTCCCAACTGACGGAAAATACTAATTGGATTGAAGTTTACCGAGCCATTTTCTTTTATCTCTAATTATTTTGGCTCCATAGTTTATAGATACGCTACAAAAATACTATTCATAAGTAATTGATTCAGATATTATCATTGAAAAATTAGTATAATCCTCTCATATGCCTAGAAAAAAAAATCATTGCGCTTCATCAAAGACATAATAATATCCAAAAATAGTATATTACATGCGGAGGTGGAAAGTGTTTCATTATTGTCGACACATACTAGAGGTCAACCAATTAACGAGATAATATATGTGAAACCTTTCCACCGAAATATGTATACTATTTTATTTTGAATCATTAATTAATGAAAAAAAAATAAGGTAAAAATATGACAAAAATGGGATTTTGACTGACACTCTGACACTGACATTGACATCTTATGAAATTTCAACAATATAAGCACATGTGACATCTATTTTTAAATACAAACATTGCACCTGGATTTGTGTTTAGGTGTGAATGCACAATTTATCAGGCCGAAAGTGAGTTCTCCATGCCGAAAGTGACAAAAAAACTATCACTTTTGGCCTGCTTTAAAGTAAACAGAAGTAAAGTGACATTTTCGAACTTTCAAACCAGTGAGAAAGGACCCCGCAATATTTAAATGGAAATTGGTTACCCGTGATATTTGGATGAAATTTAAATATGTTATTGGGGATGCCGTTAGCAACATTTTTTACCATGGGCACAACCCTGTATATATGACAGGTGAGGCGTGGTTAGCTGTCAAATATTGGAATCTTATATCTAAAAGCAGAGTGACTGGCAGATTTTGATGAACGAAATATCGATGTCTACTAAGTCGACCAAGTTAAGTCGAAAAATGTCTACCATTTTGACACCTGTCAAAACCATGCTAAACGGCAGCACTCATCTTTTCCCGTTTTCAATATTTTATAATATCATTTGACATTTTCAACTTGAATGTAAATTCTGAATTCACAAATTGAAAAAAAAAAAATGACAGAACTGTCAAAACCTGTCATTTGTTTTAGTAGAAAAAAATACTCTTATCTGGTTCTTTTTTGTTTCAAGGTAGTTTATTGGTGATAAAACATTAAACAAAGTTCATGCATGTCATATTTTGACAACTGTCAGAATCTGTTAATAGCTTTTTGCTTCATATTGAGTTTGTTTGCTTAGTGAAGTTCTACAACGGGCATAAAATTGGTTAAGTTCTTTGTATTATTGTATTATTCTATCATTCTAGTAGTAGAACTTCACAGCAAACAAACTCAATATGAACCAAAAAGCTATTAACAGATTCTGACAGTTGTCAAAATGTGACATGCATCAACTTTGTTTAATGTTTTATCACCAATAAACTACCTTGAAACAAAAAAGAACCAGATTAGAGTATTTTTGTCTACTAAAACAAATGACAGGTTTTGACAGTTCTGTCTTTTTTTTTTCAATTTTGAATTCAGAATTTTCATACAAGTTGAAAATGTCAAATGATATTATAAAATATTGAAAACGGGAAAAGATGAGTGCTGCCGTTTAGCATGGTTTTGACAGGTGTCAAAATGGTAGACATTTTTCGACTTACCTTGGTCGACTTAGTAGACATCGATACTTCGTTCATCAAAATCTGCCATAGTCACTCTGCTTTTAGATATAAGATTCCAATATTTGACAGCTAACCACGCCTCACCTGTCATATATACAGGGTTGTGCCCATGGTAAAAAATGTTGCTAACGGCATCCCCAATAACATATTTAAATTTCATCCAAATATCACGGGTAACCAATTTCCATTTAAATATTGCGGGGTCCTTTGAAAATAACATAAATTGCTCAAAATAAATAATGTTTCAGCAACGTCACATCTCTGGAATCGACAACTTAACCACTATTCTCGTGTTTGTTCTAAATTTCCGCTTGGATCATATAGGTTTTTATGGAAGAAAAATACTACTTAAGTTAGTGGCAGAAAATAATCGGCCCTTACAGCTACTAGAACTTAACAAGATCGAATGATCAGCTTCCTCAGCCTCAGCAACTACAGAAAATTGGCTCATTGAAAATAATACAATAGAATCTTCATAATGTTAGGGACCGCTTCCACCGATGTTGGGGGTTTCCGCTAACTCTAATATTAGGATTTGAGCCACAAGGACTGTGACTTAAATCTCGGTTACTTACACTAATTAAAACTATGTTTCTTGGTTTATAAAAAAAAAGGTTTAGTTTATTGAAGTATTTATTGT